CACAGAACTTAGAAGACAGAACCTACACAGAACCTAGAGACAGAAGAACTTCGCTGGAGAGAACATGGCAAAAGATCCTGGACAGAACCTGGCTACAGAACTTGGTTGGAGAACCTAGACAGAACCTGGCTGAAGAACCCGGCTACAGAACCTGGCGACCGAACCTGGCTGAGATCCAAACCAGAACTTCGCTGGAGATCCTAACCAGAACTTCGCTGGAGATCCAGACCAGAACTTGGCTGGAGATCCTGGCTAGGCTGCCGATCAACTGAACACTGTCTTCGTGTCATTCCTTCTTCGCCGACTCCGTCCACACCTTTGGGGACCCCTGGACCTGCTGGGGCTGGACCCCAGCATAAACTGGCTAACATCTGATTGCTCTCAAGTCAGATTTTACCCAGGAAATCTGATCCTGTCCACTGTACCGGTCCTGATGTCATAAAAATGCATCTATCACCAGAGCCTCAGGCCAGGCCACCCTTCATGGGGGGCGGAGGGGAACACAGGGTGCCTTCCAGTGAAGTCCACGAGCAGCTTTTCTAACCAGAGGCAGCTTTCATAATCACTCTGTTACCGGCTGCTGGCCATGGGAGAGGGGAAGAAATTAGGGTGTCCCCACCTGCCTACGATGTGGCTTTGAGCAGATATCTGGCCTTTCAGAACTTCACTTTTGGGGGTAAGGGGGAAAATAACATCTCACAGAGCAGAGGTAAGAATTAAATGAAACAAAATACTTAGAATGAACTAATGGTGTCTGGAACACAGGAAGGTCTCAATAAAAGAGATTTGTGCATTCAGCTGACGTTCCCATGACGCTCAGAACTGCTCTGACTCTCTGTGCTGTGATAAAGTGCAATTACAGACCTCGAGGCCACAGCAGCCAAGTCTCCCAGTGACTGTTCAGGGCGAGTGATGAGTAAAGAAAGGTCCTTGGGAGCAGGAGAGAACTACCATTTAGAGATTAGATATGCTTTTCAATGACAGTGCAATCAAATCCCACTCCTATCGGCACAGATACAATCATCTTTCTTTTTTTATTAGCACATTTCACTCTCCAGCACAGATGAGTATCTACCTAGTAGAAAAGCCTAATAGTTCTTGGACAGAAATGGGAGTTGGGGGGTTTTATGGTCAACCATTACCTGCACTTGCAGTCCCCTCACCCCACAAAGTGCCCTCAGCAAGAAAATGCAGCTGGGGGACTGATTACTCGCCTCCAACACCAGCTCTGGGTGTGCTTCTCCATAATGTCCCTTACCAAGCACTTAGTCAGCTGGAGATGGAACACCCAGAAGAGGGCAGGGAAAGCGAGATGCCAGGAGAAATGCTGGGATGTTCTAAACCCTGCCAGCGCTCCAGGAGGAAGTGCAAAGGCTGGTGGATTCACATAGTGTAGCTCATTGCTACGGCTCTTTCAGCTCAAAGTCCATAATTCCAGGACTCTGTAAGAATAAAGAATAATGAGAAATAGTTATCCTAGAAAATGCTAAGAAGCCAGCATTGAGGTAGTTAGAACAAAGAAAAAGAAAAAGGCCAAAACATTTAAATTCCTCAACTCTTTATAAGGTACAGATAAATGTGTGTCTTGATTTAAATAAAAAAAGAGCCTGCAATCACACCTTGCTACCTTGCTTTCCCAACCAGGAAGCAAATGCATCCATACGTATGGAAGAAATCACCTGCAGGCCAGGAGGTGAAACACCCAGCAACATTCACCTCAGTCCGATGTGTCAGGCTCTTCACTGAAGACTGGGTGACAGAGCCAGGCTCAGCTCTTAACCTCGGAACCTCACAAGCTAATAGGAAATACAGAACATCTAGGCTCCCGTGAAGTGTACGGAAACACATGTATGGAAACACAAATGGGCACACAAACGCGCAGTGGGTCCAGGATGTCTTCTTCAAGTAGGATGGTTGAGCTAACCAGGGAAAGGAAATGTGGAGGAAAGGGTTTTAAGCAGAAGGAATAAGAGGTCTTTCTTGAAATACCAGCAGTTTGTCTTCTGGGTCCCCTCCCTACTTCATCCTTAGCTTTGATAAGAGAAGTTAAGGTAAAAGCCACTGATTAGAGCCTTAAGGATCAAAGGCTCACCCTCACTGCTGCCTGTTCCTTGCCGATGCATGGTGTCAGCAGCAGTAGCTGATTCTGGGGAAAAGAAGAGAGAGCTATGGGAACATCAGTTCATCCATTGCTCACAATTAGGGTCCGTGTAATTTTCCGAACCTGTAGTCCAAAAAGATGATAGAATAGGAGGAAGAGCTAGCTTGTCACACCCGTTTCTGAAGTCAAGCAGAACAAGAAAGGGGGGAAAGAAGTAATGAAGAAAAGATGGGAACAGGATTTAGAAAAGGGAAATTTTGGAAAGATAGCTTTTGTACTATTAGTGGTTCGACTACATAACAGTGGAAAACCCTTCTAAATCAAAAAATCAATAAGCAAAGATACAAGATAATTGCCAAACTGAGGGAGATGGTGAAAAACGTTAAGGTCTAAGGAGTTCTACAGAATTAGTTACGCTCCCCAAGTGACTTACAAATGGCAGAGAGAAAAGCATATCTTTACAACGAAGACAGCGAAGCAAATGATCAAAGGTGACATTCGCACCTCTGAAGGGACTATCTGTGAAGCACACTCACCAAAAACATTGAACCTAGATGTAATCAAGACTCTGGGGCCTAACATGTGGTTCACAGGAAATCCGGGGGACAGAGCAACATGCTACACAACACAACAAGAAAACTAATAGAGTACATGGGGCATTCTTCAGACAGCTGGACCGGCTGCTTCACAAAGTCAATGCCACGGGGGGGTTAGAGGGGGGGGAGCAGAGGGATTATTCTAGATTAAAAAAGACTAGAGATGACAACCAAATGCAAAATGAAAGTCTTGACTGAGTGCTGATGCATAAATACTAGTTACAAAAGATAGTCTTGAGAAAACTGGAAAACTTTAATGTAGGCTGTACAGTATATGAACTAATATTTTCTTTGGCATGAAAACGGCAATGGTTATGAAAGGGAATATCTTTATTTTCAGGAATAAATGTCATGCTGTCTTCAACTTTTTTTTTTAAATTCTCACCCGAGATTACGTTTTGTTTTTGTGGGTGTGTTTTTCTAAAAAATTGATTTGAGAAAGAGAGGAATGGGAGGGAAGGAGAGAGGGGGGTGGGGAGGGAGAGAAAAGCATCGATCAGAGAGAGAAACACTGATCAGTTGCTTCCTGTATCCGCCCTGGCCAGGGATTGAACCTGCAACCTAGGTATGTGCCCTGACTGGGAATCAAACCCGCAACCCTTCTGGTACACGTAACAACACTCCAACTAGCTGAGCCACCCAGCCAGGACTATATTTAACTTTTTAAGGAACTACCAAAGTGTTTTTCCATACCATCTACCCCATTTTACATCCCCAGAGTTCCAAGCTCTCCACATCTTTGCCAACACTTATCACATGCTAATTGGTGTGAAGCAGTATTTCCATGGTTTTGATTTTCATCTCCCTAATGATTAATAATGTTAAACATCTTTTCATGTGTTTATGGGTCATCTTTAAATCTTTGGAGAAATGTCTATTCAAGACCTTTGCCAATTTTTAAATTGGGTTGTCTTTTTATTTCTGAGTTGCATAAACTTTATATATTCTAGATACACATCCCTTATTAGATATATAAATTGCAAATGTTTTCTCCCATTCTTGGGGTGGTCTTTCTAACTGGTACAACTTTTGAAAACAAGTCTGGCAACATATATCAAAGATTTCAGTGTGAATATCCTTTGATTTTACAGTTTTACACTTTTAAGAATTTATCCTCAGAAAATAATTAAATAAGTAGAACGAGAAGAGATATAAACAAGAACATTCACCAAAGTGCTATTTAAACTGAATCTCAAGCCTTACCTTACACCATATACAAAAATTAAATCCAAGTGAATCATAGTCCTAAATGTAACACCTAAAACTACAAAATTTCTTGGGAAAGGAAAAAAATCTTAGAGACCTTGGGTTTGGTAAAGACTTCATAAACAAAAATTATGGCTACAAAAAACCCACAGATACACATGACTTCATCAAAATTAAAAACTTTTGCTCTTCAAAAAACAACTGAAAATGATAGTGCAGTTCTATTTTTACAAAGATATAGCAAGAAATAAAAAGGACACAATAACAAGATACAGAGTATATAGCTCCAAGAACAGTGTTTCAGATGATTTTGCTTTTTTTCTATCTTTCTGAAATGTCTGAATTCTCCATTTCTATATAACGAGGAGAAGGCTAGAGGGAGACCTTTACAAAACTATGTCCATCTTGAAAAGGGGAAAAGTTAATTTCCACCTCAGAATTAATTGAAAGTAATATTAATTACCCATGGGAAACAGTTTAGCATGTTGATTTTGAGTTACTTTTTTATTTGCCACATTTTAGAAATAAGAATACACTGTAATTTTCTTACGAGTTTAATATCTTTGCCTTTCACATGATTTGAAGATTTCTATCATACATACAAATTAATCTGGTCAACAAACTTTACTGATGCAATGGGATTAAGAATGGCATAAAGATTATTCTGTAAGAGAAGCTTATAAGTACAGCATCATCTCGCAACTATATGGAGTTTTATTTAGTTATACGGAAGTAAATAAAATAATTCAAGATAGATAATAAAGGTCTGTGCACTTGATTCAAAGGAGAGGCTCTAAACCCTCACTAAGTTAATTACTCTTATTTTACACTCAATTTAACAAGTTAAGCAAACCAATAGCAAGAGGGAGGCACCAGACAAAAAGGGAGAGTAAGTGGTAAACACTGCAGAGCAAGTGGCAACCAAGATCCTGCAGGAGACAATCATTAAAGATTTGAAAACCCAACTCACAAGAGAGCCCGAGATCACTGGTTAGAAAAGCAAATGTACCTTAACAGTGCAAGAATATCAAGAGGTTACTGTAATACTACAATAAATAATATTCAGAAACAGGTTTCTAAACAACCAAAAGTTGTACTACCATCAATGTGTTCAAGAATCAATGATGGCTATCGTGCATTTAAGAGAAATTTCCATTTTCCATTAATAATGGCTAAGTCTATAAAATACATGACTAACGAAATAAGCAATGGTGATCTGGAAAATTGGCTTATAGCAAAGGACGCTCTATTCCTTAAGAGAGGGGCAAATCAATAAGGTGTTTTTGCAAACATTTTAATACTCAACTTCAATACCACAAAACTCAAAGGACAGAACAGAAGTAGTGATTTAGATGCACTGGTAGATTCTTCAGTGCTCCTCAAATCTACCATGTGGGATGGTTCCCAGGACTATATCTGAGTAAGAACTAACCCTGTGGTTAAGTTCATTTTATATTACCACCCTCCCACCCAGCTCTGTCCACCATGTATCATCTCCTCCTGCATTTGTAGGTCCATCTTTGAGAAAAAGCACTTCTTAACTTGGCTGTCTGGGGCCAGGATGTTGCAAAAATATATATATATATTTTTTTCATTTCTCCTAAGTTCTTCAAATGCCACTCTACAATCTCAACTGCATTTGGAGAGCTATCCAATCAAATGCAAAGAAACCAAGTTCCCATTCTGGGAGGAAATGGAGTCTGGATCTTCTCACCATTGTGTGAGCTACCTCCACCCCCACGTGAGTTCCTGCTGTCCTCACCTATGAGGCTGGGACTTCCACAAGGACAGCTGATATGACTAATCTGACCACACAAATATCAGACTACATGGGGGGCAGAGGTGAGGCAATGCGACCTCTGAAAACATCAGAAAGAAGCCAAACACTGAGTTTCTGTCCCACTCTTGAGGAACTGTCTGGGAGTCCAGACAGAGGAATTATTCGCTCTATGGATTAAATCTCGAGTTTGAAGCATCACACATATGAAAGGGGCAGATGCCAGGCCAAAAGGTCAGCATAAATGTCAACCTAGACAGCAGGTGGGGAACCTGGCCAGAGCAGGTGGTCTCCTGTACTGGGCAGGCGAGTGCCAAGTAAGGCTGAGGGCACAGGCAAGCAGTTTGACTTCTGGAGGCTCCGTGCCAAGAGGTCACAATTGGCTGTCACCCAGCCAGGGGTCAGGAGCAGCCTGGGATGCCCACTGAGACAGCTGTCTATTCTGGATGGCTAACTAATCACCTCAGATGCTGCTGAGCACAGAGGGCAACAGAAAGCAGGTTCTCCCTTCTGGACCAGGCTACCCCCAGGAACACGGCTGAGGTGGAAGAAAAACAGCTAGCTCAGAGCACCAGAGCAATTCAAGCCAACCAACTGCTTTATTCGAAACAATGCTGGCTTTGTCAAGAGATTGCAACAGCCCGACAAGAGCCAGTTGAAAAACCTGCCCTCTTTTACTCATTTCAATCCCTGGTCCCCATGACTTTGAGACATCACACTAAAAAAGGGGGGAGGAAGAGTTACAGTCATAAACCAACATCAGCCAACCCCTGTGATGCACCAGGGACAGCTACCACTCAGAGATGACACATCATGGAGCTGGCTGCTTCGCAGCCCTGATCTCCTTCCCAGAAGCTGAGCTCCCAGGGTGCATTTGAATCTCACTTACTGATACATTTCCAGTGAGCTTAGCCAACAAAGCACAAGGGCTGAAATGTCAAGTATTTCTACAGTGCTGCTGGGTCAATTTTCCAGTCAATTCAGGAAGGCAGTACACCCAAGATCTCAATTAGAGCTACCAAGCTGGAGTGGCTGCTCCCAGCTTTACAAAAGCCTGAAAGCTGCTACTCCAGGGTCCTCTAGGGCAATAAACAAAGAAACTCTCTCTTTGGGAAGAAATGGTGGGGGTTGGGCACCAGCAGATTACAATATTTCTCACACCACACCCTGCCCTGTTCACTTCATCCATATTTCACAAAATCAGTGGCAATCATCTCAAAGTACTATGCAAACACACCCAAAGCTCCAAGGAACCAGCAACAAGTACAAAAACAGAGATAAGCAAAGCTACCAGGCAAAAAGCAGCTGGCTGCATAGAGGCCAAACCAGCTCAACTGCGACCAGCAAGTCTCTGGTAGGCTGCTCTCAGAAGCATCTGGAGGAGGCCATGTAGACCACAGGTGAGTTTTCCGCACCACCTGCCTGCTGGCTGTCAGCAACTAT